TTCTGCGATTTCAAAGAAATCTCCCAGTATAAATGTTATCTTCTCTCTGACTCCATAAATCTCAGCGTTCCTTTTCGCAAATTCCAATTTATTAGCATCGTTATCCACAGCGATTACTTGTTTGTATCTTTTGGCCAATTGGATGACGTTACCACCAGCACCACAAAACGGATCCATAGCGACGTGTAGGCCTGGACATCTTAACGCTATGTGTGTACTTAAGATTTCGGGACAAACTGAATAAAATGATTTAAAAAAAAAAAAAAAAACGTCAAATATAGTAAAACACTTAAGTTTGTTGAAATAATAATTGTATTACCATTGTCCATCATGATTCCTTCGTCGAATTTTGAAAACAATAAGTACCTCTTATCCCATAAATGTTTTTTAATATCATTAGGCCTAGTTCTAGTTGCCGAATTTTCGTTGATATTATTTTCACGTCGTAAATTTCCATTCACTTTAGTCTTTTCCAGGTCTTCTGGAGTAAAAACTTCAGTTTTTTTACATAGCAACGCACTGTTAGTGTTAGATGTTATAATATTTTCTGTTAATTTTTTAGGCTGTATTCTATTAAGTTTGAGTGAATTTTCTATTAAGGTATTGTTTTCTTGATTTGTTGTAATAATATTTCCTGGCACTATATCAAGTAATTGTGTTGAATTATTGTTTTTTGACTGTATTATGTCCGAGTTAAAAGACTTATCAGCTAATACAGAAGTCTCTATAGGAATGTTAGTGGCCTCTTTTTCAATTTCAGTTTTCGTAACAATTTCTGGGTTTAGTTTTTTGACGGGTTCTATTTCATTATTCGTTAATAAAATGTTCGTATTAGTGTTTGAGGGCTCTTTTTCGGTTTCAATTATCGGAGTTCCCGTAAATTTATCTTCTATGAGCGGTTCTTCTAAAATTGAATTTTTTGTCAAAATAGGTGTTTCCAAATTTATAGGATGTGTAGTCAAAACTGGGCAGCGATTATTCATAATGGATTCTACTGGTTTAGTTGAAGTAATTTTCTTCTTAAAAAGTTTCATCTCCAAAAAAGTCTGCAGCGACACAACTGCCAATGCAATAAACATAATATCTCTAATTACTTGAAATGGAATTATAAAATATATCACCAACGTCGTTATAACGAAAAACAAATGCGAATCCATATTTTTTTATAAATATATAAACAAAAAACTTAAAAAATTTTAGATATACTTAGAGAAAAATGTAACAGTTAAAGTGTTTAAAGAATATACGTACTCATTTATCACAAAAAATAACTAAAGCAAAAATCACCAAACGGTGTCGATTTAAACAGCATTTTTTATCCTACTTATACAAAAAAAATTTGACTTTTTTCATATTATTTCAGCCAATTAATATAACAAAACATTTCTTCAATTGGCCAACAATTAAAACATTTAATTATCAAAATGTGTTATTTTGAATAACCATTCTGCAAATATTGGCCTCAATGAGTAGCATTAATTTTATAGTTACGGTTTACAACCAACACCTTCTTTTCTAATGAAATAATATAAAAACATTTCGACTCATAAATTTCTCTTTACATATTTAATGAAATATTTACAATTTTTTTAAAACTCCTGTGAAATTCAAATGGAAGTATTTATTATTATTTTTATCTTTATTCTACATTTTAAGTTTCTTTTTAAAAAACTATTTAGTTGTTTTCAATTAGCCATAAATTAATTTTGCAATAATTTTTACAAAATTATTTGAATTATTGAATTTTAAAACTTAAAATTACGATAAATTAGAACACTGGACATATAGAAATAAAATAAAACGTCAGATCATAAATGACCATGTCAGTTATTTTGCCTAAGTACGCCGTTTCTAATAAGTTTACTTTTTTTTAAGAACGTAAAATATAAAAATTACTTTAATTTAAATCAAATAAGCAAATTTAGTGTCTTAGATGATTGTGGCGCTTGTCACGATTTATTTTTTTGATTTTATTGTAACGTCTTATTGTTATGTAAAACTAAGTATTTTTAATTTAAATTCATAATATGAATAAACTGAAGACAAGATATTTATTGGTAATGTTTTGAATACCTCATTTACAACATAAAAAATAAATAAATTTGTATTTAAACATTATACTTTGAATAAATTTACGAAAAATAAGTTTTATTATATTCAAAATATATTGTATTTGAAACAATATCATTTTCTAAACAGTTTTTTGAAAAAAAATATCAAGTTGAAAAATAAATTATGATCACGTCTCAATTGCATTATTTTATATAATAATCGTTTTGTTTTGTACTAAATGAATCGAATCGATTAACCAAAATCAATATAACTATATAAAAAACAAAATAGTAAGACAAAAACATGTCTAAATTAATTTTTATTTTAGTTTATGCGTCTCGTCGAACAATTAATTTCCAAAAAATATACCATAAATGAAAATTTTTAATGAATCATAAGAAAAAAATTACCCATACAAATATTTAATTTTACTATTCATATAATTATTTGGATAAAATATCAGTCATATTTTTCTATATAACTAAAAATTGAAATTATAAGTGTTTACTAATTCTGTTCATTTTTTTTTTTTATTGCTATGTAATTACAGTGTTTATAAGGCGATTATTATAGTAAAAATAATTTATATAAATAACGGGAAATGAATTTATAAAAGCTATTAGATCTCGGAAAATCATGACTTTTGACATGTATTTCGTAAAATCAAAACTATATATAATTTAATTTCATTCATTTCAAAAATATCTATACACTATTTTACATATATTTTTGTTGATTAATTTAGACGTATCTAAAAAAATCCATCAGGACAGCTTTTATAATAAATTAATACTATATAAAATAATGACAGCATTTTATAAAAAAAAATAGTTATATTTAAATTCAAATTAATGATACTTAAACACANTAAAAAAAAATAGTTATATTTAAATTCAAATTAATGATACTTAAAAACATTTATAGTTAATTTTACCTCTAAATTGTTAAACGTAAATTGTCTTATTGTGTTCGTAAGAAAATTAAGATCAAACTAGTAAAAAATAATTAAAAATTGATACAAATTAAAATGTCTACATAAATATAATAAATAAATAATTAAAGGTATTATTAATGACAATAGCGTCATTTATTAAAAATTACAATTATGAATTCTAATTTATTTTTTATTTTTACAGGAGAAACCAACTTTTTAGTAGGATATCGCATTAGACATATTTCATTAGTAAACTGATTAACAAAATTCAACCAACGAAAGTGGGTTGAGTTTTCAGTTTTTATTGTAAACTCTTGAAACCCAGTAAAAAAATATAATCTAAAAATAAAAAGTAACAGAGTTCATAAACGTCATGTGTTAAAAAAAAAATTGTTTAAAACTTATAAATTGTTACCCGTAATCATTCGATAGAATGATTATTGAATGATGTAATTTACTAAATTATAGTGTGAATATTATATGACATGCAGATACTATAGAATATTTACAGTGTAAAAAATTACATAATTACATCAAGAATAACCAAAATTTTCATTTTTCAAAACATTAAAATTTACTATCAATATTAGCATATTAGTCATAATATCAACTGAAAATTCGATTTGATCAGAATTTTTTTAGAAGAATATTCATACATAATAAAATTCTTAATAGTTTATTACAAAAATTACATTTATTCATTAAAAATAGCTCAACAATAAAAAAAACTTCCATAATGTATTTAGTTAAAGTAAACTTAAATTTTTTTAAAAATTGCACCAGTACTGGCCATTATAGGCTCAGTACTGATATTTTGTACTGGCATAACTCACAAATGATAACGCTTTTTGTACTGACTGCCAGTACTGAGACAGTACTGTAGGTCAGTACGGGGTTCTATACTAGCTTAATAATGACGTTGTACTAGGTCAGTACAGGCCCAATAATAGGTTACTACTAGTTTGAACTATTGTCGAATACAGATTCTGTTAAAATTTATTATGATGCAATACGATACGTCAAAAGATCACAAATCTTATCTAGTTGAAGACATTACCCTCAAAAATTGAAAACATTTTCCTCGTTCCCGTAAATGGGAGAAATCTCCAAAAAAACTACAAATTTAAAAATCGCTATTTTTCGACATTTTGTCAAGAGAGATAGGTAACGCGGAATATTGAAGTTTGAACTTCCATAAGAAGTTAACTTACTAGTAAAATTTTAATTATTATTATATTGGTGTAAGTTACTAGAAACGGGTAATAATTGATATTGTTGTTTCTATTATGAAAGAGGATAAGTTTTTTGGGGGGGCATTGCATATCATATAATCATATAATCATATATATCTTGGATATATATATATGTGTGTGTGTGGCACATTCCATACCAGAAAAGGTTTTAAGGTCGACCTCTCCAATTTTTTTGAAAACTTCATGTTTTTAATACTGTCAAAAAACACCTTCATGAATTTTTTTGATCACTCGTATCTTAGATATTGATTATTTTCAAAATTCAAGGTTTTTTTTTCAAATAGCAATAATTTTCCAAAAAATACAGTTACCGGGGTTCTGTTTTTTTTTTCAAAATTTTTGTTTTTTAATGTTCTTTTAAGAAAAAAATGCTTCTTTGATCTTTATTAATTTATTTATAGTTTTTTTAAGTTTTAAGCAAAAAAACTACTTTTTTGAAATGTATGCCCCTTTTGATTTTTTTAAAAAAATTCTCAAGATAAATTTTACGTTACAGATAATAATTTATGTATTTGGTTATTAATTCAATGGATATATAGAAATAATATTAGTAAATAATAAATATTTCTTTACATTTTTTAGCTAAATCAACTTTCTGACACAAAAAACTTAATAATCAAGATACATAAGTAATGCCATTTATTACATTTTTTGTATTATGCAAGTTATACATAAATTATAAAGCAAAATCTAATTTTCTATTGGATTTTGAAAATATATCAATCACTTTAAAACCTCTACATTAATATCACGATGAATGTTCAAAGAGCAAGTCCAGTTAATCTTGTCTCTGACATAGTAGACCGGAGCCATGTTTTTAGTCTTCGTAGTGTGGAAAATGTCCTCTCAGCACTTGCATTACTTATTGGAAGAGTAATAAAAACAGTTAAAAGACGATTAATTAATGGAAATATTTCTTCGTCACAATTTGCCAGAATTTTCGTTACACATATGGAATTGATCAAATTATTTTCAATTTTTTCTCGATTCCATTTTTGTTTCCATAATTTAAATTCGAAACGTAATAAAGAAGAAACACCTTCTTTTTCATTTGAAAGAAGTATCTGAAATTCATCTGCTATTGTTTTAATAATATCGTCTGATTCATTTATTGAATATGAAGTTGAATTTTCCTTTAAAAAATTTTCAGGTAGTAAGTATGAAAGATTAAAGCAACTAAGTGTTTTATGTGATAAACGTGATTTTAAATCATTAATGACATTATCTATCAAAGGAATAAATAAAGTTAATTTATAATACTCTTCTGTATTATTGGTTGGATTATTTGCACGTTTCGTTTGTTT